TGGTTCTTGGCAGTATGATGGATTAGAAACACTGCTGTATTGGAAGAAGTATATCAACACCAGCAGACAGTAAATCACATGCTTGCGATAGTGCTTGCTCTTTAGTTAGCTTTTCCTCAATTAGCAAATGCTCCACTAGGCTAATCCTTTCTTCATCAAGTACTTCTCCTTCCTGAGCTAATTTCTGAAGTTGTTCAAAACGGAACTTCATCATGCTTTCTCCAATAGCATGCATATCATTCACTGCTTTTTTAAAATTTTTAAATGGTGCAGTAGGATACAGCTTATACAGTGGTAACGCTTGTAGCATACCTCCTATGGCATTAGTGAAATTGACTGCTGCTTTAGTAAAATCATTAGCCATTTGATTTCCTTCTTCGAAAACAGGCAAATCTTTATTGAATATAAACCAAACAACACCTTTAAGTGCCCATTGTTGTAAATCATCTCTTATATCAGTGATATATGAATCTTCTCCTCTCTTACTCAACCAGTGAGTTCCTAACTCCTCAGCAGCATTATACAACTGATTAGAGAAGGTCGCTACTTTACGAGGTGTTGCTGGTTTCGCCATTGCAGATCTAAGTGTCTTCCACTCTTGACCTCCAGTGAAGAACATGAACGGAGGAACACCAATTTTATGACAAACCCAACGAAGTTTGTCTTCAAAGCCTACACCTCTCAAGGGATACTTGTTGCTAGCTTCATTCTGAACCATTACTTTGAATACCTCTGGATCAGTTGTGTATAAAATGGGGCTCATACCAGGAACAATCAGTTTATAAAGGGAACCATACTCTTTGAACCAGTCTAAAGACAGCATTCCTCTTGGTTTCTCATCAGTAATGCTGGTCAGGATTGTCGGAAGAGCACCAATCACTGGATAACATTTGGGGCCGGGAATTTGCTTGAATGGTTTGGCAGACTTCCACAAAGCTAGTGAAGATGGATCCGCTTCATTGACGTAAACAGCAGACGAAGAACGACGATGAAGGCTTGCTAAAGAGAAAGATCTTCTAATGAAACGATTCATTTTGCCCGAGCACGGCGAGCACCTCCCCCGCCCAAAATGGCTGAAAAGTCTATAGCATTATTCTTTATCCCTCAGAAGACAGATGTCACATATTTGTGACAATACATTACGAGTCATGGAGACAGCTGTCACTTTTTTGTGACACACTGTGTTACAAATATATGACAGCTGTCTCCATGGCATGGCCGGCATAAATTTTTGACCTCTGTCTTCTAAGGGTTATGGCAAGATTCAGACCAAATTTTCAACTATTTTTACAATGGTTTCTCATACAAAAATTAGAGCTGGGTGACAACACAGCAAATCATTAAAATTTTCGATTACAGCGGTAATAATTATTTTTATTATTATAAACCACATTATTATTAAAACAATAATGAGAGGATAAGAGTGAGAGAGAGAGAGAGGGGGAGTATAGTCTCTTGTTAGGACAGTGGTGGTATGGATCCTCCTCCTCCTTCCATCTTCTCAATTTTCTCAAAATGCTTGCGAGCATTTTTTACATTAACAAGAGTAACAGCAGACGCTAGTTAGAAAAGAGAAAATCATAAATAAAGTATAAAATAACGAGTCTATATAAATACGCTTCATGCATCAAGTGTATCTACAATGTGTACATGAGTACTGATCTGAGGCATGCTACTGGTAATGAATAAACCACTAAACAAATTAATGTGATACAGAAACTGTTAAGACCAGTGGTGTAGCTACATAGGGGCCTGTGGGGGCAGTGCCCTCATAACTGCTTCTTGTGCCCTTGCAACTAGGCAGGAGAATGAAAGATACAAGTTACAACTGACTCAACTGAGCTTACTATATTGAGTATTCATGAGCATTGCTTTATTCAGTGCCCCCCCCCCACTGTGCCCTCTTTCTTCATTTATTCTAGTTACGCCACTGGTTAAGACTGAGCTACACATGTAAACTGTACATTGTATTTGCTCATGCAATTGAATGCACCTGGTGTTTACTTCTTAACTGGGAATAATGCGTAAAATAGAATTTAAAATGGCAAAAAGTGAGACCAAACCCATCAAAACTTAGACAGTTTGACATGAAAAGTTACGCTATTTAACAACCTACACATAATACATGTAAGCACTATAGTACCCTTCATTATTAGTACATGTAATAATGAATGATGATTGCCATTAATGATAAATTAATGGCGAGAGTAATATTTGGCAAATCCGCCTGTGAAAAGTTAATTGGCAAATTTTATATTTGCAATTTTGTGCTACGTGCCATGGAGCATGCTCAGATTGAAACGAAACGGCAAATTTTATATTGGTGACTTCTTCATTGAACCATCAATCGCCAATATTAATTTCTCACCAATAAATCATCTTGTATGGTATATAAGTACATTGTATTAGTGACAGGAGTTTATTTGAGGAGGGGATTTGAACATGTACACTGGGTCATTCACCATGCAAGCAAGGACACTGTCTGTTATACAATGTATGTATACACTGAATTGTTAGTTTAACTTACGTATGGTTGGGTCAGACATGATAACCATTACATAAGTGTTTGGAGTAAATACATCAATAAATGCAGAGAACTGGGAATTCCGTACTTCCATGCTCTGGAACTGAGCCTGAAGTTTGCTACACAGAAAGAAAAGGTGAGAGAGAGAGGGGGGAAGAGACAAAGAGAAATTAACAGATACAGTACATGAACATGTAAATGCAATGTAAAGTGATTTAGTTTTATATGCATTTTGGCAAATTTACTATTCAGAATTTGTGGGTTTTTTGGTTTGCCAATTTTAATGCAAACGATATTCACCAAGCATGTCATAATGATTGGCAATTTTGATTTTGAAGTCTACCAATTTAATCTTAAGCACTATAGGGAAGAAGAGAAGAAAGTGAAAGCACTACATGTAAAAGGGTTTTTTGAATTGTCAACTTTTACTCACATGTGTACTAGCACAATTGTAATGATTGGCAGTTTTAATAAAATTAAAGTCTGCGAAATTAAAAGACTTTATGGCAAGCAATTACAGAAATTAAGAGAGTGAGAGAACACACACGAATTAACTGTCAATACCTGCAACTCAGTTTAAACTGCTTGACTATATTACTGATCTTTTCAAATCTATGAATATCACTGTGTTGCCTCTTCACAGAATGAGCTATGACCTAAAATGACATCAGGTGACATCATCAAGTCACATGATAATATCCACTTACAAGGAAGGTAGCTCTCTCAAACAGGAGAACCTCATCAGCATCAAGAATACCAGCAAAACTGTCAAGATGCATCTCAAGTGTATTGACATTAGGTATGAGGAGATGGACTATTTGGGACCAGGCCTAATGATAATAATAATAATAATAATGATAATAATAATAATAATAATAATAATAATAATAATAATAATACCATATAGCAGGAAATTTTGGAGGGGCTAAAATTTGGCGAATTGCTAAATTTTGGAGATTGGCAGATTTCAATGTGGCGAATTTGTAGCCACATGCCATTGAGCATGCGTATAATGGCTCAAAATGGTAGATTTTTATTTTGGCGAATGTCTATCAAAACGCCATATTTGCCAAATTTAATCCCTTCCAAAATTTCCCACTATACAGTAATAGAAAATGAAATAATATTAATGACATTGAAAATTAAATAATATTAATAATATTGAAAATAAAATTAAAATTTAATAATAAACAACAATGCCGTATAGCTGGTAATACATGTACTGTACATAAATGTAATTTTAAAAGTTGCTCCGAAATTAGGCTGAATACGCTGTACAGGGTATTTGACCAAATTTCACCTAAAGTGACTAGGAAAGAATTCTCCAATTTTGTAATTTTTCTGATATATATACATGTTGCTATTTTATGTACAAAGTTTGAGTTGACTCAGATCAAATTTGGATTTAAAAAATTTTTTAAGTTGCTCAAAATCAGGCCAAATTTTGCCAAAAATGACTAGTAAGACTTCTACAGTTTTATAATTTTCTCTAATACAAAAACAAGTTTTTATGATGCCTACATAGTTTGAGCTGATTCCAATCAAATTTAGATTTTTATAAATTTTTAAAGTTGCTCAACATGTATATGTACATGTGTATGCTATTAGGCTTAAGTATCATGCTTTGTGGGAAACCCAGCAATACATGTACATATATTAATAATATATTTAATATTGTTTGATAGGTTTTTACATCACTATTTCTGACCTTGTAAAGTGTCTCGTCCCATATTGATGTCTTGAAACATTTACACTCAAGGGGCAACGATCTCTTAACAAGCTCAGATTCTCTCTTTTCATAAATCTAAATGAAAGAGAGAGAGAGAGGGAAGGAGAGAAAAAGAGGGAGGGAGGGAGGGTGGGAGAAAGGGAGGGTGGAAGAGAGAGAGAGAGAGGGAGGGTGAAAGAGAGGGAGGGTGGAAGAGAGAGAGAGAGAGAGGGAGAGAGGAGGAAGAGAGAGGGACGGACAGAGAGAAAGAAGAGAAGAGATTGAGGGAGAGAGAGAAATAAAAGAAATGAATGGAGAAAGGAGCAACTCATAATGTATATCAATATATATCATATGATGTACCATTTGCCTCTGGTCTTCAGGTAAAAGATCCATTTTATGTATTAGACAGAAAACTTTAGCTTCGGGTGAGTTTTGAATGATGGCCTCCAGTGAGGACTGGTAATGATGCATGTCCTTCTCCAGCTCTCTACTCTCAACATCAAACACGTAAATAAGGACCTCAACATTCCTGAATACGTTATCACGCTGTGTCGTGAAGTAGGTCTCCATGAAAGCCTCTTGACTAAAGGGAGAGAGAGAGAGGAGCAGGAAAGAAGAAATGAGAAAAGACAGAATAAAAAAGTGGAAAGAAATTAATTTTAATAATACGTGTACATGTACATGTGAAATAATAATAATAATAACAAATAAAAAGCTATTACAGCAACAAATTTTAGCAATTTAGCAAAACTGATTCAATTAACTGCCTATTTATCTTCTAATAAAAGTCTGCCAAACAAAATTGGCTAGCTGTTCCAATTACACGTATATTGTTTCATAATAGTAACTAGTTAAATGTACATGCAAGTAGCTGAATGATTGAGGAACTTATGTATACATGTACATGTGTACAACTATATGTTATAATTTAGTGCTAATTATATAATGTATGCCAAATTAGCTGGTGTAGGGGTGAGCTATTAATACGCCCATTAAAAATATTAATGCTTTGTGGGATTAAATTCCAGCAAAAATTAAAAGTACATACATGTACACATGCATAAAACTCACCCGCCACAATCCCATAGATTAAGAACCAGGTTTCCGAGAAAACGAACATGCGAATGCTCAACATCAACTACAAACACAATAATTAGAACCCTCTCCCTGCCAGCCTCACTTACTAGTTGCTCCCAATCTTCTAGTGTCTCTAGCAATGTAGTTAGCAAATATGATTGAACGCATGCTGGTCTTGCCGGAACCACTTTTTCCCATTAAAAGTACCTGCGGGTGGAATCAATAGATGATTTATAAGGTATTAAGACCCACTTTTTTCTTCATTTTCTGTGGATGATGAAACTATCATGAAAGAAATGCTTACCCTCGAGAGAGATGGAGTTAAAGGGTTAAAAATTAGAATGTCCCGTGACTTATGGGCGTGGTAGCTAATTTGAGCCACGCCTGTTTTTATGAGCTGCAAGCCTGCAGATTTTGACTTATGGGTAAGGTTGCAGGTACTTTAAAACTTAAGAAGCCCATTTTTATTCTTGTAAATAATGACACTTTTTATCTGGCTTCAAATTTACATTTTTGCATATGCATAGTGCATTAAGAACTCAGAGCTTGCTTTTTTTAGATACGCCCACGTCAAGGTCTTTATTATTATTATTATTATTATTATTATTATTATTATTAATAAACTCTACAGCACAATAGTAGAATGAAAACACAGGGAGTTAGAGTGCTGATGGTAACCTGGTAAACTCACCAGGAACCAGAAAAAAAAAAAAAAAAAAAGAAAAAAAATGAAAAAAAAAATAAAAATAAAAAATAAATAAATAAATAAATAAATAACTTAGTGCATGAATGAATGGAGTTATGTACATGTATGATGGGAGCTGATACAATTATAGCAAGGGCATAAGAAATGATAAGTGCATAAATCAGATGAGTTGAATTTAGTTAAAAAGATGCTTGTGAAGTGATGGTAAAGTGAATCAATTGCTTTAGAGTGAGTGAGAGAGAGGAGGTTTAGAGGGAGTAGGGCATTCCACAGACGAGGGAGACGGGAGAAGTAGAAGTGACGTGATGGAGTAGTACGAGTATATGTGTGT